ATCTAATAACCAATCTGCAACAACCTACCACTAGTGTAACTAGAACATTTGCACTAGTAACCATAAAAACATGGTAAATGTTTGTTTTTAGTGTATTCAATCTGAGGCATAAACAATCAGGTTATCTAGAAGAATCAGTAGTATATATAACAACAAAAACTAGTATAATCTGCAATGACCAGATAACAACATGCATGTATAAACAATCCGTAGCAAGTATATTCAAATGTAGCCTAACAAATGAGAGGTTAAACGTGAAAGGTCCAAACCAATATGTAATTTCTTAATTTAGATTTTTACTTTGAGTACAGAAGGTATTCAAATGCTTAAATGATACGATGTCCATATAAGCCAAACACTCAAAGCCTCAAACAGCACAAAAGGTAAGAAATATCCATGTGAATGTGTTTATACATAGATGATAGATCCAAAGAAAGCTATAAGATGTACCTCTTCTACAGTTTAGTCACAACCTGCTCTAGAAGTTATTTCATGTCCTGTTTAGTCAGGCTGCAAAACGATTATAACCATAGATCAATTGTTTTAGTGCCAGAAAATATGGATTCAAAAAGTAATGCTTAGTCATACTAGTATTAAACAAACATCAATTCAAAAGTAATGACTTTACTTGTTGCACAAGCAGTACATGAAGATGCACTTTATAGTCCTGTATATCACTACAAGTTGAAAGCTTGAAATCGTTGCTAGATGGCTGCCTCTTAGAACAAACGTAATAGAGTTAGAGCAATATCTAAACTCATAAATTACAAAAAAAAAGTTCATGCAAATAAGATATCACCATTTTTTTTTTTTTTTTTTTTTTTAACCCGGAAGGCAAACCACCAAAATCAGTGGGGCAAATGCCGGGAGTCAGATGCCGTTATTTTATTAAAATAGAAAGGGATACAAAGGAAAGGAGGACTAGACCAAAGCCTTTCCGGGGAGGCATACCTCCCAAAATTACAGTAAAATAAAAGAGAATTACATTCATTCTAGTAGAACTGAGTCGAACCTAAAATTAAAATAAACCACGAACATTAAAACTAACGAAACCAAAACTTTACAGTATACGGAAATAACTCAATCCCAATTTATCAGTTATTATGGAGCATCGAATAAAACCTGGAAGTTGTCTCAAATTAAGATAAGTATATTTATTATCCAAATGAAGCTTGGATAAATGATGAGCTGGCCAGTTAGCTTCCCTGTAGATATGTCTGAATACCAATCGATTTTCCTCCACCCATTTTCTAAGCTCTTTTGACAAATTCCTCCCCCAACCTTCAAAACCACGCCCCAGGACCGCATCTACCACCGAGCTGGAGTCGGTTTCAACCTCGAAGCTTTGGTATCCATGCTGAATCGCCCAAGAAACAGAGTAATGAACCGCCTGCAGCTCCGCATCTAACACCGAGACCGCGGACAAAGGAAAGTGAATACCAGCAACCAAATCACCTGACCGCGACCTGAGGATTGCACCCCCTGCTGCCTGATTACTGCTATAGGACGCATCAACATTCAACTTGTACTCCAGACCAGGTAAATCCCATCTCACCGCTAGAATCTTCCTCCTTTTAAACTTAAAAGAGAAAGGCAGTAATCGTTCTTCAAACAATAAAGAGCTAGGAATTCCTAACTTGAGGTTCATCAGTTTAGCATCAGACCAGATGTTTGTAATTTTGTATAGGCTTTGATTCTTTGAATTACCTCCTGATAATGACCAACCTCTTTCGCCTCCCCCCATTTCAATCGACAATACTCTTTCCAAATTTGCCATGATATGATTCCTGCCATATTGTGCTTAAAAACGTCCATAAGAGTCCTGGTCCCTGCATCAAGCCACCATGCAATAAACATTTGCCTTAAAGTATTTTGCCCGTTCATATATGGTATTTGAAAAATCCCCAAAAAATATTTCCATATATTCCAACTGAACTGGCAGTTAAGGAGAACATGGTCCATGTATTCCGAATCCTGCCTGCAAAAGGGGCACATGGATGGGTACACAGCGATATTAAACCTCTTCAAGTTATCTGGAAAGGGAGTTATTCTATTAATAGCCTTCCATTGAAATGTCTGCACTTGAATCTGTTGATGTTTATTCCAGGTGTGTATAAATGAGAAGGCAGTATTTTGGGTTCTTCTAACTTGGTGAAAGGCAGAAGAAAGAGTAAAAAAGCCAGAATTCCCAGGAGTCCAAAGCCATTCCCCCTCCTGATCTTGCTTGCAAAGAGATTGTCCCAACTGGTGAGTCATACATATTCTTTTCCATAATGCAGAGTCCGAAGATTTATAAATCATATTATTATCTCTAGGATATCTAGCATGACAAAATTTTGCCCAAATAGATTTGTTACATTTCCATTTCCACCAGATCTTAAGGGAATACGCCTTTTCCACATCATATAGAGATCTTAAACCCAAACCCCCCTCTGAGTATGGCAGGCAGAGTTTCTTCCAGCTCTTCCAGTGATATTTACTCTTATTTCCATTGGAACCCCAAAGAAAATGAGCCATTCTCCTCTCCAAACTTCTTATAATAGCCTTTGGAAGATTATCAACCGCAAGAATGTGCAATGGAATAGTGTTTAGAACATGTTTAATCAAGATTAATCTGCCTCCAAAGTTAAGATGTTTTTGCTTCCAAGTAGTAAGTTTCTTGTCAAATGCCTGCAAAATTCCTCCACAGTAATTTTTCCTGTTAATTCCTTTATGCAGTGTAGATCCAAGATACTTCATAGGCAGATTAATCTTTGTCATTCCAAGTAGCCTTTCCATATTCCTTACTCTAGCCATGGATGTTTTACCACAACCAAAGTTGCTTTTTTCCAAGTTAATTGCTTGTCCAGAAGCTTTTTGATAAATGCTCAAGAATCTTTTAAAAACCTGAATGGACCTAGCCTCCCCATTAAGAAAAACTAGAATGTCATCAGCATAACATAGATGTGAGACTGAGTACCCAGTAGGCCCAATCCAGTAGGGTTTGATTTTATTTGAAGAAACCAGATTCTTCAGACCTCTTGATAGAACTTCAGTTGCCAGGATAAACAGATATGGAGAGAGAGGGTCTCCCTGTTTGACTCCCCTCTGAGGCTGAAAGAAACCTTTTGGTGAACCATTAATAAGCACAGAGAAATGAGTGGCCTTTAAATGATTGAGAACCAGTGTAACAAAACTTTCAGAGAAACCAAACTTCAGGAGCACAGCTTTCAGAAAAGACCAAGATAACCTATCAAAAGCTTTTGCCATATCCAGTTTAACCACAATATTTGTGCCCCTAACTTTCCTGTCAATAGAATTTATCATTTCCTGAGCCACCAAAATGTGATCTGAGATATCCCTCCCTCTCATAAAACCTGCCTGCTCTGTGGAAATTAGTTTAGGAAGAATAGTTATCAATCTGTTAGTCAGGACTTTTGTGCACACCTTACTGATGAAATTTGACAAACTAATAGGTCTAAAATCTGAGAATGTTGATATGTTGTCCTTTTTAGGGATAAGAACAATAAGGGAGCTTGCCATAGCCTTAGGAATAACATTCCCTTGAAAGAAATCTTGTACTGCCATGATCACATCAGGACTCACAATTGACCAGCAATGTCTAAAAAAAACCCCATTGTAACCATCAGGCCCTGGAGCACTATTCTTATCTAACCCCCAAACTGCTTCTTTGATTTCTTCACCGGTAGGAAGCTTCAATAACATCAGGTTATCAATACTATCCACCAGTTCAGGAATATTTTCCAGTATGGCATCCTCAATATGAATGTCCTCTTCAGCAAATATTCCTTGAAAGTAAAATTCAGCAGCCCTTCCTATCTCATCTGTACCAGCAAATAGGTTACCAGAAGAGTCTTTAATAACTGAAAGATATTGCATTCTTCTCTTAACATTGACATATGCATGATAAAACTTAGTGTTTGCATCTCCTTCTTTTAACCATTTAAGATGAGATCTTTGTTTCCAAAACTCTTTTTCCTGCTTATGTTTCTGAATTAAAAGAGCTTGCTTGAAAGACCAGTTCTCCTTGTTAACCTCTGAGGCTTGGTTTTCAAATAACATTTCTGCCTCAGCCACCTCTGCCTCAAGCTTTTTAATATCAAGGAAAATATCCCCAAATGAGCTTTTATTCCAATTCTTTAAAACCTGCTTTAATGACTGCAATTTATTATATAAACCTCTCATACCACCACAGGTTTCAAAAGTTCCCCAAGCTTTAGAAACTACCTCCAAAAAGGTGGGGTGTGATATCCACATATTCTGGAATCTAAATGACTTAGGGCCATGATTAATCTCCATCTTGCATTGTAACAGGATTGGGGAGTGATCAGAAGTTGTTTTATTGAGGTGATTAATTTGTATACTATCATACAGATCCAAGAATGAAGGGTTAAAGAGAACCCTGTCCAGTCTCCTCCAAACCCTACCACCAGATCGCACTCCAGTCCAGGTAAATTTAGATCCAAGGAAAGGTAAATCATTTAAATCAGAATTGGCTAAACAGTCTTTGAATTCTGTCATACTACTTAATAGGGGGGTAGTATGACCTTTGTGCTCCCCCTGATTTGCTATTGCATTAAAATCACCCCCCACAAACCAGGGATCCTTGTTACCTTCAGCCCAGTCTACCAAGTATTGCCATAAATGTCTTCTTTCTAAATAGCTGTGTCCCCCATAGATAGCAGTAAACCAAAAAGTATTAAGACCACAGTGGATCTTCATATGAGTATACTGATTCCCAGTATGAAAGTCAGAAATGTCAACCTGTGATTTGTCCCAAAAAACCCATATCTTATTGTCAATACAGGAAAATGTAGAATGAAGGCCTAACTGCATAGCCATATCATTTATTCTATTATCAGAAATAATAGGCTCAATGACCACTACCAAACTAATACTCCACTGTCTAATTAAACTTCGAAGTCTTGGACAGGAAGAAACAAGACCCCGAACATTCCATATTAGACAATTCATCATGGAATGGCAGAAAAAGCTATAGCCAGCTTTTTAGCTGCATTCCTAGTGAGTCTAGGAGTGTCTGGAACAACTTGTGTAGGCTGCTTTTTCTTCTTTTTCCGTGCCACTGTTATAAATCCATCTTGCTGAACTATTCCTTTCCTTTCTAGGTTCTCCATAAGATCTGCATCAGACTTTTGAGGCATATTATCCATCAAAGCTTTCAATTTCTGAGTGAGTTTCTCTTGCCCAGTCTTCCATGATTGCAGATTATCAATAAACCCGCCATCACCATCAGATGAGTATCCTTTTGCAGCTATAACAGGATCATAGTCTTTAATTTTGATTAACTGCATAAGGTCGTAGTCATCTTTGGGCTTATCAGTTCGATATAACTCAGATGAGGGAATTCCTTCCATTAATGTTTCTTTCCTTTTGTCTGCAGGCTGAATAAAGTCTAGTAAGTGAGCTGCTGTATCATTCTGGGAATTCAAAGATTCAGTAAACACTTCTTCAGTGCCTGAGTCCGAATCAATGTCAATGGGACTCCCTGTTTCCTTTCGTGAGGAAGAGGGGATGTTGGAAGGGTCCACCTGTTTATACATAGCACTTCATAGTGTTTAGTTTTCATAATTTAACAAATATCGATTCAAAGTAATGCTTCTATTTGCTACACCAATAATACTTTAAAAATACACTTTATAATCTTGTTTATCACTAACCTGACCCAACTTTCTCCTTTTCAGAATTTCATATTTACATTCATTTATTGAATCACTTTCATATCCATGATCACTTTATAAACAACCTGATCTAAGCAAGAAATCATTGACAAAGTCTGGAGATGCTTAATAAATCATGTAAGTGTAGCTAGTCACTGACTTTAAAGTATTTATGAGTTCAGCTCAAGTACGACATACATGGCCCCTTAATAAAATAAGCAAAACAGTACTATTTATGTAATAACCACTGCACTAACATGAGCAGCATGCACTAAAAAATATGAACATCATACACTAAACAAAACACTCAGAAAACCAAACTTCAGAAAACCAAACTTCAGAAAAAAAATGTTATTAATATAGTTGTAGCACCAAAGCTAAGAAGCTAATACAGAGATATATTTGGGAATATTTTAATACATAGAACCAAATTATCAATAGGATGTACCTATTCTATCGTCCAGTCAGAAACTACTCTAAGAGATCCTTCATATTCTGCTTAATCCGAATCTGCAAAAAAAATGCTGATTGTTTTAATTTAATACCAAAAATCATGGATTCAAAATAAATGTTTAGTACATATGATATAAGCAACATTAAAAGTAATGCTTCTAGTTTGTACACATACAATACTTGAAAATGCATCCCTAATTACTTGATTCACAAATTAAATATTAATAATTCACAAATAAGCCATCAAAAAACTAGTAATTAAAAAATACAGTACAACTAAGGTAATATAAAAATAGAAATCAGATAGCATATATGACTAGATATGGATATTCATAGTCACACCTAATCCTTTTGTTTTGGCTGGAAATACTAGTTTGGGCCTACTTTAGAAAATGGCATTGTAAAGACTTGAATACTAGCACATGTGAATCTGATAAGAAGCATACAATCTTATGAGAAAATATCGTTACCTGAATAAGGAAATACATGATGTTTGTAGCCTTAATTTTGTCTTTATGGAATCAGCTAATAGGGTGAAGACAACTAGGTACCCAAATCCTACAAAGTTAAATTGTATCAAAGCATTCGAACAAAGAGATGATGAATTTAAAAATAAAAAATACTTATCTGTTAAAGAAGCTTAAGGAAGATAATCAGAAGGAGATGATGAGGCTTGAAGGAGAAGACGGACAATTTGAAGCTCGAAGGACAAGATGAACATCGGACCATCGCCGATGGAGTCACCCATTATCTCCGATTCAGTCACCCATTATCCCCAGATTCAGTCGCACACTTTCTCGTCAATTGAGTAGCGCCGTTTCTCGCTGTTGCAGTATTTTCCGTTCTTGTATATGCACAATTTGAAGAACGAAGAAAAGAGAAGAGAAGGTAGGGTTAAGGAGAGAGTGCGGAAACCTAATAATTCTCCTGGTGAGCGGCAAAAATTTCACGCTCCCTACTTTCTAAAATATGAGCGGCAAAACACTAAGTGCCAGTTTGGTGAACCAGTTATTCCACTTATTAGGCTTATCAGCCAATTAGCCAATTTTTAAATTGAACATGTAACTTTTGATTTCAACTTTTAGCTTAAAATATTGCCCTAAAATGACGCACGCACTGCTCCAAATGATACTTTTTATGTGATTCTAATGCTTACATTTAGAGAGACAACATAGTCAAAGTTGTCTCAAAGAATTGTCTCTATAAATCAATTTTATTGTAGTGCTTAATCATTGATATATTTTATTTCTTATTAGTAAAAAATGAAAATTTAAGTCGAGGGGAATTTAAAGGTAAGCAGAAAAAATATTAAAATTAACTCCCTGATAAAATTAATAATAACAAGTTTGTAAACATGTTTGAAAATGTTAAGTTTATTGTGTTTATTCAATTACGTGTATGCACACATTTAGAGGTCATCCTAATTTAGTTAACGTTAAATATATATTTTAGAGGCGCAGATGTGTTATTGCCTCAATAAACATTTAGAAGCAAATGCTTTAGAGGCAATTATGCTTTTGTGTCGAACTTTTGGAGGCAGGCATAAAAACGTTGCACCCAAATGACATTTTTAGAGGCAAGTCCAGTGTGGTTGCTCCCAAATGATAGTTTTTAGGGGCAAGTACAATATGGTTGTCTCAAATAATAGCTTTTAGAGGCAACCATAACTTATATGATGCTAAAACATACTATTAGGGACAACGGAATATAAGTTGCCTCGAAGAGTTGCCTCTATAAATCAATTTTTTTGTAGTGTTCCTCTCCGTCTTTCACAGCTTCCTTTTCAGGAGGATAAGTCAAGATTTCCTCAGCAGGGGTCAGTGGGGGTGCTTTGGTTTTGTAACTCTTGTTTAACTCTGTATAGTTTAAAGGAACCTCAGCACCAGCCTTTGTCTTTCTCTTTTCATCCTCGAGGGCATTCGTTTCTTCAGCTCCAGTGAAGGCCATAAGTTTGGTCAATCCTATTTTCATGTGTCTAACATCGTAGAGTTGGATGCAGTCGACCTTTTTCAGGTTCTTAGGATTGGTCAATCCTAGGCCCTCCTTGGAGTTATAGAAACGTGTGTCCTTAGGTTGGTTAAGAAAAATGGTCTGGTCGGTTTGGCCCCTCTTAGCTAACAGGTCTTCGAGTTCTTTTATTTTAGTGTAAAGCGAATCCCTTATCTCATACAGAAAATTGTTAATGCCAAAAAGTCTAATTCTCTCTTTCTCAGTAGTTCTAAGTTTCTCTGTTAGCTCTTTTTTTGCTAGCACTAAGTCTTTTATTCTCAGCAGTCAGCTTAGTAATGATTTTCTCTGAATTGATTATTTTGATGTTTGAACATGTCTGTCTTTCACGCAGTTTGTTATAGATACCATAGGCTCTATCAAATTTCTCCTCTAGCTCCTTAATTTTATCGTGTGTGTCAGTTCTAGAGCAGGTATAAACGAACGGATTAGAAGTACTTACATTATTGTTAGCATTCTTGTTTTCAGCGGAGAGGGCAGTCACTTCATCTGCATTGTTTGAGGTAGTTAGGCTCTTCTTCTCCTCAACAGTTGGAGTAGTGTCTTTCTCGTTTCCAATTGACAAAGCGTCCATTTTATAATTGACTGACTGATCAGTTGATTGATTAAGTCCTGTTTTTGTTTGTTGTACACTTCAAGCAGTATGTTCATGCACTGTTAATGTCGCAACTTTGAAATCGCGCAAGAGTAGCTTTCAGGAAAGTATTGTAGGATCGCTCAAGTATTGTAGTAGGATGGCTCAAGTATGGTAGAAGGATTGTTCCAGTTGTAAAAGATCGCTCAACTTTTAAAAGATCGCTCAACTTGTAAAAAGATCGCTCAACTTTTAAAAGATCCCTCAACTTTTAAAAGATCGCTCAACTTTTAGAAGATCGTTCAACTTGTAAAAAGATCGCTCAACTTTTAAAAGATCGCTCAACTTTTAAAAGATCGCTCAACTCTTAAAAGATCGTTCAACTTTTTAGAAGATCGCTCAACTTGTAAAAAGATCGCTCAACTTTTAAAAGATCGCTCAACTTTTAAAAGATCTCTCAACTTTTTAGAAGATCGCTCAACTCTTTTAAAAGATTGCTCAACTTTTTAGAAGATCGCTCAAGTTCAAGATCGCGCAAGGGCGAAATAGCTCAAGTCTGCAAATCGCTCAAGTCCTGTTGAGAATGGCGCAAGTTCGAGATCGCGCAAGGAGTGTTGCGCGAAGTTTGAGATCGCGCAGGAGGCTACTTGCGCTAAACCTGTTCTTCTTTCTGGATGAGTTGCGCGAAGATGCAGAATCGCTCAACTCCAACTTAACCTGTACGCCAACTTTCTGGGTGCGATTTTTCACAGAACAAATCCTTGCAAGCCTAGAAACGCTTTCCTGTAAACATTTTCCTGCAAAAATGACAACAAAAACAGAACAAAAGATCGCTCAAGTGCAAAACTTCATCGATGAAGAATCGCGCAAGAGCCTTTTTCAGCCTTCAATCGATCGATCAGCTTCGGCTCTGATACCAGATGTTAGGTCCCTGTTTTCTATTCTAGAATATGTATGGAAGAGTGATCAGATGAGGATGAAGCTTTCCATTGATGTGTAGAAGGTTTTACATAATGATATGAAAACTTAGCGTATAAACCTTTACACGAGAATAGGCTCTACGGCTCTAGGTATAAAATATCTGGGAAAGCTTAACCTACTCATTCTCATAAGGGGCATATTTATAGCCTTGGAGAATGGTAGGTTAACAAATGATTGGGCTCCAACTTTAAGGAGGCCCATTCCTATTTAGGCAAAAGAGCCTTTACCAAATAAAGCCTATTCTATGGATAAATAAATTATTACAAAAAGGCCAAGTAACATTGATCACAATATAATGAAAATATCTCTAACACACATTGTTTTACAACCCAACACAGATGTCATACAATAATCAATGTCCTAAAAGGCAATAGGCATTTGCTTAGTTGGGCTCCAGCCCAGCGCCTAGAGCCTAGGAGGCTAGGCAAGCGCCTGAGTGAGGACTAATCGGAGATATAAAAATTATATTTTTATCAATGCTTTGCATAAATATGATCTCATAATCAATGTTTGCATGGATGATATTAACATTTCATAATATTAAAATTTAAGAATATATACAAACATATATGGTTAAAGTTAAAGGTACATATATGATTTAGAAAAAAAAATTAAAAGAAAAAACGTTCACCAAATCTAAACGCCCTAGGCGGTCGGTTAAGCTATGGGCCTACAACTAGGTGGCTTAGCTTGTTGGGTCATGGGGATGCGGGCTACACCATGCTGACGCCATTGAAACGTGGTGCTTGACTGATACACAAGTATAAGGAAATAAAGTTATATCTTCGCTATCAGCTATAGGCCTCTAGCTTTTGACATAGTTGTATGCGCTGCATCCTGACAACTTGTATCAGAGAAGGTTATGGGTGTGACCCCCAACAACAACATATCATGCTACACAATTGTAGGCTGGTGAGTTGTGGGGGATATTGTAGGGCCTTGGGGATATGGGCCAACAATCTGTCATCCTGGTGGTGCAATAAAATCATTGTGTTTGATTGTTATTTATGCAAGTATAAGAAAATAAAGTTACGCCATCGCTACTAGCCATAATATTTGGCGTAGTGTAAGTGCTTGATCATGACATGCATGGCTGAGTAATATCTCTAGGCGTCAAACCAATTAGTCGGGATGTCTAGATTAAAATTAGGGCGCCCGACCACTTTTTAGCGCCTAATCGGGGACTAATCGGGCGTTTAAAGTGACTGTCAGAACAATGACAACAACTAAGGCCTAATTGTTGTCCGATAAAACTTACCTTTAGTTAAGTCAGCATACTATCATCACATCTAATTCAACTTTGATGCACTCTTCCTTTTTTTATTCAAAGCAACCAACAATAACATTATGACAATGTATCAAAACTCTCTTAACTAATAATAACTTTGATGCACTCTTCCTTTTTTTATTCAAAGCAACCAACAATAACATTATTACAATGTATCAAAACTCTCTTAACTAATAATAACTAAAATAGCATCTAACCATTCAAACCCCACACCCTGACCCCCTTTGATGATGGGCGGGGAGAGAGACTTTTATGGAAAATGTCTCCGGAAATGTTGGAATTGGTCTAAAAAAAGGACACAATATATCAAGTGCAGCATTTTTAGCATGCCACATCAGACTGGTGTTACATTAGATGTATTGTAGAAATTTATCATTCTATTGTAGCATTTTTTGCTAGAATAATGTTACAATAGATACTATATTGTAGCAATTTCTATGGTGCTACAAAATGGATGCTACAATAGACACTTTTTGTACTAGTAATTCTACGCACATGGCATGGCTATACCACCACAATTTATTCTATCACATCATATCTTAAATAGGTTCACACATTGTTTTAGAACCCAACACTCTATGTCATATAATCAATGTTCTAAAAAGCACTAGGCGCTACTCAAACACCTATCTTAAATTGGTTCACACATTGTTTTACATAAATATGATAAGTAATTAATGTTGTGTTTGTGTGTATACACACACACACCACACTAACATGCATGAATGATAGTAACATTTAATAACAATAAAATCTAAGAATATATACAAACATACTACATATATAAATGTTATCTTAATCTACAAGTAGCTTTCTCTAATGTTAAAGTTAAAGGTACATATATTGATTTACTTTTTTGAAAAATAAAATAAAACGCAAAATATATATATTTAGCGAATCTAGAAGCCCTAGGCAGCCGATCAAGCTTTAGGAAGGCACCTAGGTGGCTTGTTGGGCCGCGGAGATGCGGGCCAACAATATCATGCTGCACAACTATAGGCTGGCGGGTGGTGGGGGAGATTGTAGGGCCACAATGATATGGGCCACCAATCTGCCAGAACGATAAAATCATGGTGTTTGATCGCTAAGAAATTAAAGCATGTCCTTCACTACCAGCAATAACTATTGTAATACCTGAGATTAATTTAAGATGATTAATAGTACTACTCATACCAACAAGGTGCA